TTTTTTTTTTTTTTTTTTTTTTTTTTGGAGACAAGGGTTTTTCTGTGTAATAGCTCTGTCAGACCTTGCTGGCCTTGAACTCACAAAGATTCACCTGTCTCTGCCTCCTGAGTGCAGGGATTAAGAGTGAGCACAATCACTGCCTGACTCGAGGAAATGTCTTAATAAAATAAATAAAAAATTCTTATTTTGGGGCTGGAGAAATGGCTTAGAGGTTAAGGGCACTGGCTGCTCTTCCAGAGGTCCTGAGTTCAATTCCCAGCAACCACATCACAAGCATCTGTAATGAGATCTGGTGCCCTCTTCTGGCCTGGAGGTGTACAGGCAGGAGAAACATTGTTAAGTAAATAAATCTTTAAAAAAAAATTTTTTTTTCCTTATTTTGGCTTGGGTGGTTGTGGTACACACTTTTAATCCCAGCACTGTCTGGAAAAATAAACAGAAAAACATAGAAGAAGTTCTTATTTTGGGGAAGTTTTTCTGTGCAGCCCTGGCTGTTCTGAAACTCACTCTATAGACCACGCTGGACTTGAACTCACTTAGATCCACCTGCCTCTGCTTCCCAAGTGCTGGGATCAAAGGTGTGTTCCACTGTGCCTGGCAAAAGTCCTCAAACCAAAGTTTTACTAGACTGGGTAGCTTGTTTGGGGATTTTTCTGTCGGGTATCTGAATGTCATGTTACTTCCTTAATGTGTCTTCAGGACAGAGACTGTGCGTTGTCACCTGATGAACTTAAAGATTTATTTAAAGTTTTCCCTTACATACCTTGGGGACCTGATGTAAATAACACAGTGTGCACGAATGAAAGAGGCTGGATAACTTACCAGGGATTCCTTTCCCAGTGGACGTGAGTATAGCGTTCACCTCTTTGCTGTTGCACTTGTCATTTTGTATGTCTGTCGAATTTAGGAAATCCTTCAATCCTAATTTCCCTCTAAGCAGCATGACTCTGAGATGAACTATGGAAGTTTGTAAGTTTTTGAGAAGTTGCTATATTCTTGTAGGAAATGGTAGCATTACGTCAAAATGAAACTAAATTTTATACTTTTTATTTGATTAAGGAAATTGGAGCTGTTGATACTGTCAGCAAATGGAGAGCAGCATGCTTTACTGGGCACTAGAGTTTGTATTCTTTGTTTTAAATGATTTTTAATTCTCTATAAAAGTTAATAAGGATATGTTTAAAACCTACTTAGAGCATGGTTGGCATTGTGCCAAGAATGTGTAAGGACTTCTCTGTTCAATATGATGTCATTATTATTTTAGCATTTCTGGAAACTTCTGTTTTTAGATGAGGTAGATGTGTTGAGGAAAACCAGGCTCCTCCTTAAGGAAGGGTACCTGAGGCATACTCTACAGCATTTTCTCTCTCTCTCTCCCTCCCTTCTCCCTTCCTTTCCTTTCCCCTTCCCTCTCTACTCCCTCCTTCCTCCCCACTGCCCCCCCTTCATATCTTTTTTTTCTTGGTTGTGAGCCTTTAACAGCTGAGACATCTCTCCCGCCCTGTCTCCATTCTCTGAGTCCAGGTCTTGCCTATCCCGAGCTGACCTAGAATTTACTATGTACCTGAGATTGACCCTGAACTCCTAATCCTCCTGCCTTTACCTCATAAGTGACTGGGATTTCAACCTTATTTTATGTGCTGCTAGGGATCAAATTAAAGATTCTACCAACTGAGCTACACCCCAAACTCTTCCATCCCCCAAGTACATAAGAAGGATCTATTTCGGGTACTCTCAGGAGGTATATTTTGCTTTTCTGTCAAACCTTTTCATATCTGCTTAGGTTTTGTCTGGTCAGTGTACACAGGACATTATGTTAGCCTGGGAAGCAGATAATATGATATGATATCTGTGGTGTGGGTTGTGCCAGTATTCATCTGTGCAGCAGCTCATTGCACAGGGCTGCCTTCCCCGGCAGGTGGAATAGAGGAAGTCCCCCTTATCATGTGGGAATGGCAGTGTAGGGAAAGTTCTGATCGGAGAGGCTGGGGAGATAGCTCAGTTGGTAAAGTGCCTAGAAGGACCTGAATTTTATTTTCAGAACCCATGTAAAACAGTACAGATTTGTCACGTCCTTATCATCCGCTCAGTGAAGGTGGACGCACGCAGACAGATTCGTGAACCTCACTGGCCTTCAGCTTAGCTTTCTTGTAGTGAGAGACTCTCAAAAAATGAGGTGAACAGCTCCTCTGGCCTGCACACATGTGGACACCCACCTTTACACTTCCTTACATACAGACACATACACACAGAGTCATAGTTGAACACATAAAACAATAGAGCAACCTGACAAATATTATCTGAAACCTAACAGTGGGTAATTTTTTTTTGAATTACTGGAATTTTTTTGTGAATGTTCATTTAGGGCATAAACCTTGTTAACTTCCTGGTTTTAGGCTCACAACCTACTTAGATGTACAGCGTTGCCTGGAGTATTTGGGCTATCTAGGCTATTCCATACTAACGGAACAAGAGTCTCAAGCTTCAGCCATTACAGGTAAGCATATAAGGATGCTATTCAGTGATGTGAGAGTCCCCTCTGTGTGCTGTGATTACCATTAATGAATAAAGAAACTGCTTTGGACCTATAGCAAGGCAGAACCTAGGTAGGCGGGGAAAGCTAGGCTGAATGCTGGGAGGAAGATGGGTGGAGTCAGAGAGATGCCATGGAGCTGCCACCAGAGTCAGACATGCCAAAACTTTGCTGGTAAGCCACTGCCACGTGGCAATGCACAGATTAATAGAAATGGGTTAAATTAATATGTAAGAGCCAATAAGAAGCTAGAGCTAATGGGCCAAGCAGTGTTTTAATTAATACAGTTTCTATGTGATTGTTTTGGGGCTGAGCAGATGGGAACCAACAAGCGGCTCACTTCCTCCTACAGTTTAGCTCATGCCTATGAATTATTTTTTAACTCCAGTTCGGGGACTGGGGGGAGTGTAGCTCAGTTGGTAGAGTGCTTGCCTAGTGTGAATGAGGGTTTTATCCCTAGCGCTTGCTGTATAAACTGGGAATGGTGATGCATACCTGTAATACCAACAAAATTTCAGTGCCGTTCTCAGCTACAAATCCAGTTTGAGGCCAACCTGTGCTATGTGAGAACCCTCTCTCAAAACAAAAACAGACCTGGACAGATGGCTCCATGGAAAAGAGCCCTGACTGTTCTTGCACAGGACCTTTGTTGGATTCTCAACACCCCCATGGTGTCTCACAGACATCTGTAACTATTCCTAGGGATCCAGCATTCTCTTCTGACCTCCATGACCACAAAGCACACACATACATAAATGCAGGCAAAACACCCATACACATAAATAAGTTTTTAAATGAACAAGAACAAAACCATTGCATTGAACACAAAAACTATGAGTACTTACACAGGGTCTGCACACCATTGGTAGGTACCATCTACCTTGGGGGTTTGTGAAGCCTCACCCCTCTCTGAGGATGTGTAAGTAGTTAATAGTTGCTGGGAGGAGGAGAAGACATTTTCTTTAGTGGTGTGGCCACTGACAAGAGTGAGATGCCATTCCCTATAAATAACTCCTCATGTTCCTGTAAGCAACACTAATGAGTCATAAGAAAATAAAAACATGAAAATGAGGCTGGAGAGAAGGCTCAGTGGTTAAAATCACAAGCTGCTCTTCTAGAGGTCCTAGGTTCAATTCTCAGCATCTACATGGCAGCTCACATCTGTCTGTAATTCTAATTCCAAGGGATCCAACACCACCACACAGACATACATGAAGGCAAAACACCAATGCACATGAAATAAAAATAAATCAATTTTTAAAAAGGACATGAAAGACTGGTCAGAAATGAGAAGGGGATCAGTGAGGGGAAAAGAAATGAGAGGGAATTGGGAAGGATAAATATCATAATGTACTATGTACATGTGTGAAAATGAGACTCGTTATTATTAATATATACTGATATAAATGTTTAAAATGGATTTAGAAATATGAACAAAGTTATCATGAGGCAAAAAATGAGAAGAAATCATTTTCAAATATTGCAGAGTGAAGATAAACTCATCTCATTCTATGTCTTTATTAGTTTTGCTCATGACTTGACAGTTTCTTTTTATTATTTATCAAAGGGGTTAGAGTTCATTTGCTTCTATTCTATTCCCTGGTACTCCAACGATGAAAGTGAGGAAGAGGTCATTCTCAGCTAATAGGGACTTGGACACCAGTCTAGGTGACATGAAATCCTGCCTCAGACTTTCTCCACCTACCCCATCCCCAAGAGAAAGAAATATAGTGCTTTATTGTGCTGATTGCATAGCTTTGACTTTGTTTTGTTTTCTTTTTTGTTTTTGTTCTGTTTTTTGGTTTCTTGTTTTTTTTTTTTTTTTTTTTTTTTTTTTTTTTTTTTTCTGTAGTTTTGGAGCCTTTCCTCCTGGAACTAACTCTTGTAGACCAGGCTGGCCTTAACTCACAGAGATTTGCCTGCCCCGCCTCCCGAGTGCTGGAATTAAAGGCCTATACCACCACTGGGCTTTTTTTTTGTTGTTGTTTTTTGTTTGTTTGTTTGTTTGTTTGTTTGTTTTGAGACAGGGTTTTTCTGTGTAGCCCTGGCTGTTCTGGAACTCACTCTATAGGCCAGCCTGGCCTCCATCTCAAAGATCTGGTGGGATTAAAGGCTTGGACCACCACCCAACATTATATTTGTTTGTAAAGCAAACATTTCTAAAAGTAAAATGCAGCAATACCTAATTTTATAATTTTATAGATTGTGGGATAGAGGTTTAGTGAGTCTTAGTGGTACGTGTTCATGTTTTTTGTTTTGTTTTGTTTTTAGTAACAAGAGATAAAAAGATTGACCTACAGAAAAAACAGACTCAGAGAAATGTGTTCAGATGTAATGTAATTGGAGTGAAAGGCTGTGGGAAAAGTGGAGTTCTTCAGGCTCTTCTTGGAAGAAACTTAATGGTGAGGATTGTCAGAATATAATTTTTTCTAACAAATATTTATAAGTTTACAAAAGTTTTCGTAGGCATTATCCCTTTTTGGTAATTATTAGGAGTTATTGATTGGTCTACTTATATTAGTGCTATACAATCTAAACTGTAACAATTGGTACACCCAGAACTTGGAGTCTGAGGCTAGCCTTGGAACATAGCTAGTTCTAGGTCAGTTAGTGCAAACAAAGTAACAGTAATCCTGTTGAAATATTTATCTTGCCCAGGACAGGCTCCAAAGCTACAGAGAGACCCTGTCTCTGGGAGGGGCGGGGGGGGGGGAGAGAAAAAAAGAAATATCTATCTTGCTTCACTGGTCTTTTAGAAAATCAGTGTTTAGATAGAGATTAAATGACTGCACACATGAAAGCACCTAATGGAGTGTGGCATGAAGTTCATTATCAAATAAGTGCTGATACTTAGTTCTGACTATTTCCTTGACTAAGAATACTGTTTACATAGGGTTCTCATGTGAGACTAGATTGCACTATGAGAATTGTCAGCAGATGGCTCCAGAATCTGCTTACTAATCCTGTTTGCTACCTCTTCAGCTACTGCTTTTACTTTATGCAAAATAAATGCACCTTTTGTCTAAGAAATATAAAACCAGTATCCTGTTGTTACTGATAAGCAGCAATCTAGAGAGGGATGAATGTGTTTTTGTTTGTTACATACCCACACATGGACAAAGGTATGTACTGATGAAGTTACTTTAATATTTTATTTTTGGTTCTGTTTTTAGAGGCAGAAGAAAATTCGTGATGATCATAAATCCTTTTATGCAATTAACACTGTCTATGTATATGGACAAGAGAAATACTTATTGGTAAGATCTTCTATAATACAAAGACCTAAAGTATTGGGTACATTTTTAAATGAGTCTGAAACAAATTAGCTTTCATTTAATGGCTGTGAATAGAATGTATGTGATACTTTTCATTTTGGTTTACTTATTGGAATATTAATTCCATTGATTCTGTGTAATAATTACGTGAGTATACATAAAGGTAGAACTATGAACTTTTTTTTTTAAAGATTTATATATTTATTATGTACATAGAACTTTTTTGTTAGCTACCCCATAATAAGAAACTCAGACAGGTCCAGCAGTGGTGGCACACACCTTTAATCCCAGCACTTGGGAGACAGAGGCAGGTGGATCTCTGTGAGTTCGAGGCCAGCCTGGTCTACAGAGTGAGTTCCAGGACTGACTTCATAGAAACCCTGTCTTCAAAAAAAAAAAAAAGAAAGAAACTCAGACAGTTGGCTGGAGAGATGGCTCAGCAATTAAGAGCTCTGACTGCTCCTCCAGAGGACCTGGGTTCAAATCCCAGCACCCACATAGCAACTCACAACTGTCTGTAACTCCAGGACCCAACACCTGCAGACATACATACAGGCAAAAAACAACAATAAAAATAAATAAATTTAAAAAAGAAAGAAACTCAGACAGAAGGAAAACAAAACCTTCCCTTTTTTTTTTTTTTTGCCATTTTGATTTTATAAATCTGCAGTTGGGACTAGAGAGATGGCTCAGCAGTTTAGACCATGTACTCCTCTTGTAGAGGATCCAAGTTTGATTCCCAGCACTTCCATCCAGAAGTTCACAAGCACCCTGTGACTCCAGCTAGGAACCCAGAGCCCACTTCTGGTCTCTACAGGCATCCTTATGTACATGCACGAACAGTCACTCTTACCCATCTCCATTCCACAAACAAGTAAATCTTTGGTTGGTTGGTTTTGGTTTTTACTTATTTAGATTTATTTATTATTATGTATATAGTGTTCTGCCTACATGTACACCTTTATGCCAGAAGGTAGCACCAGATCTCATTACAGATGGTTGTGAGCCACTATATTGTTGCTGGGAATTGAACTCGGGACCTATGGAAGAACAGCCACTGCTCTTAACCACTGAACCATCTCTCCAGCCCCCTGGTTTGGTTTAGTTGTGTCCTTGGCTTGCCTGGAACTCCCTACGTAGACTAGGCTGGCCTCAGGCTCACAGAGATACACTTGCCTCTGTCTCCCGAGTGCTTTTGTTTTTAAATTTTTTTTTTTTTTTAAGTTACTGTTGGTTTGCTTGCCACAAAACCTGATGGCCTGAGATGGAAAGAGAAAACCAACTTCAAGAGTTATTCTCTGATATTTACATGCAATACATAGGTGTCATCCATGCTAGTAAACTAATTATGTCAAAATATTAACTTTAAATTCTAATATTATTGGTTAGAAATTAGTATAAAATCAGTGCTGGTTCTTGGTGGTTTATCTATAATCTGAACCAAGTTTATTGTTTATCAGGGAGGAATATAGAAATATAAAAGTATATGAAAGCCGGGTGGTGGTGGCACACGCCTTTAATCCTAGCACTTGGGAGGCAGAGTCAGGCGGATCTTTGTGAGTTTGAGGCCAGCCTGTTTTACAAGAGCTAGTTCCAGGACAGGCTCCAAAGCTACAGAGAATCCTTGTCTTGAAACAAAACAAACAAAAAAGTATATGAAAAGAAAAAATAGTGGTGAAATAGAGTAGAAAGGTTATATGTTCTCTTTGGGTACTATGGTTTCAGTTTCAGACTTGGTTCACAATAGATTAACTGTGTGATGAGACAAATTTCTAACTAAGTTGTATTCCTATGAGGAGCATCTAACAACTAAATATTAGAAAACATCCACAGTGGTAGCACTCGCCTTTAGTTCCAGGACTTAGAAGGCAGAGGCAGGTGGATCACCAAGTTCAAGCCAGCCTGGTCTACAGAATGAGTTCCAGGACAGCCAAGACTATACAGAAACCCTGTCTCAAAACAACAACAAATAAAAGCACCAAAATAATAATAATAATAATCAGAATACATCCATGCTTTGTTTTTGGAAATAGTTTCTCAGATAATCACATTAAACAAATATTATGTATTTTATGATATTATAAAATTTTACTATTTCTGATAAAGGTTCTGTAAGGTTTTTTTTGTTTTGTTTTGTTTAGGTTTTTTTGTTTTTGATTTTTTTGAGACAGGGTTTCTCTGTGGTTTTGGAGCCTGTCCTGGAACTAGCTCTGTAGACCAGGCTGGTCTCGAACTCACAGAGATCCACCTGCCTCTGTATTAGTACTCAGTAGGCATTGCTGACTTAATATTCTCATGTTCTTTTAAATCATTTTCCGTGTTTTGGAATATGCTTGCTTTCATGTTTTATTTGAAATTTGTCAAGTTACTTTTATATCAATATTGTGATTCTTAGTTTCCGATTGTCTTTTTGTTTTTACAAGCTGCACGATATTTCAGAGTCGGAATTTCTAACTGAAGAGGAGATCATTTGTGATGTTGTATGCCTAGTATATGATGTCACTAATCCCAAATCCTTTGAATACTGTGCCAGGATTTTTAAGGTTTGTTTTTATGGCCATGACTAATTGTAGCTTCATATAGGATTTTCAGAATCTGCAGTGTGGTGTTTCCTAGTTAGAAAATAAAACAAAATAGACTGCAGAGGGCTTTCTTCTTCTTGTTGTTGTTTAGTTGGTTTTTAAAATATATGCATCTATGTGTCCTTATTTCATTCTACACTAATGAAGTCCTGGTCATAGGAAGTAACATGTTTTTATCTACATGTGACTTTGGTGTGTATTTCTGATTGAGAACTTTTGCATTAATATAAGGCCTTCTTAGCTGTTAGGAATGCAAAGAATTATATATATTGCCAGTTACCCAAAGAATAACAACCAGAACGAGGGAATAAACCAAAGGTTTGCAAAATGTATCATTCGCTTTGAGGCTATCAACAAGAGTCAATAGGAAGAGAAAGTTATGTGTACAAAAGTATTTATCCTAATAATTGTCTTTAATATCAAAAACTTTGAAAAAATCCAAATAACTAACAGTTGAAGAATGGCTTTCCAGAAAAGATAAATATCTTGTGAGATATTTTGCAAACACTAAAAACAATCATCTTCATTCTATAGTACAGAAATGATGCAACTATATATTTTAAATGTGTACAGCATAACTGCAGCTGTGTGTATATAAATGTATGTGTGGTGAAAGTATAGCGGCAATATAAAGAATGATTTTTTTTCCAGTATAGAAAATAGATATATATTTTAACATGTTAAAAATTACTGTCACTTGTGTTGGAGAGATGGCTCAGAGGTTAAGAGCACTGACTGCTTGCCCAGAGGTCATGAGTTCAATTCCCAGCAACCGCAGCCATCTGTAATAAGATCTCGTGCCCTCTTTTGGTATGCAAGCATACATACAGACAGAACACTATATACATAATGAATAAGTAAAATCTTTAAAAAAAAAATTAGAGTGACTCTTGAGAATTAGGATAGATCTGTTTTGTCACTCCAGAAAAGCAGTCCTGGTCATGCATAACAACAGGAGACGGCCCTAGTGCTACCAAACTTTGCTTCTCACTTCGTTTTCTGCCTTTGCAGTTATAGTTGCTTTGCCTGTCTTGGGAAGTGTTTTTCATTTACATCTAGTTAAATAGTAATTTTTGAATTTGCCATCCATATTTGATTTCATTTTTTTATTCCATAGCAACATTTTATGGACAGCAGAATTCCCTGCTTAATTGTAGCTGCAAAGTCAGACCTGCATGAAGTTAAACAAGAACATAGTATCTCACCTACTGATTTCTGCAGGAAACACAAAATGCCTCCACCTCAAGCCTTCACTTGCAACACTGCTGATGCACCCAGTAAGGATATCTTTGTTAAATTGACAACAATGGCCATGTATCCGTAAGTACTTGCTCTGTCTCATTTTCATGTTGCATGGTTCATAGTAACATTGCATGCCATTAGCCATGAAAGATGTTTGTCACATAGACATTCATTGTTCAGCAACAGAAAGACTTTGTAATGAGAAGGGATAAATTTGAGCAACTGCAAGCTGCTTTGAGTGTCATAAATGATATAAACTGTGTTTCTAGAGTACTTGTATTTTTTCTGAGCAGGCTGTAGCTGTCCTAACAGGATAGCATAATAAAGCACAGCTACCGCCCAGCATTGAAAAGTAATCCTGCTATAATAAAATGGGGTTGATTTTTCTGTTGATTAATTGGCCTTTGGTGTATGAAGAATTCTAAAGTCTTTTGAGAATTTACATTGAACTTTATGTTTGAATTCAGGATTTGTCTTTTTTTTAAGTGCTGTAAAAAAAATTACAGTGGAATATTTTGTATTATTTTAGCCACAAATTTCATGTACATTTATTATATCTATACATGCATATGTACAAGCATATAATTATGGTTATCTTCATAGTTCACTAACTGCCTTAAATTTGCATGATCTTAATGACATCCTACTCAAGTAGTGTGTGTGTATAAATTCTGTTTGATAACAAAACAGCTTTTCAGGCAGTGCGTTTCTCAGGATTTTAGAGCAAATTCTGTTTATTATTCTTTTAACCTTGAGGTCATTTTCTCATGAAAACTAGATAGAATAAAGTATAATTAATACAGTACTCTTATACAATAGTAATAATTAAACATTGTTGAAAACAAAGATTGAAGTTTCCCAAAAAGGTATTAATTTATACAGATTTTTGAAGTCATAATATACTGGTATTCTATTAAAACACCTTTAAAAAAAAAGCAGCAGGCCTTTGACTTTCTGTTTGTATTGGAAGACAAATCATTCCTATTAATATAAGAGTTAAACCTTTCTGTTTCACCTTTGCTTTACAACTCTCATGTATGTTATCTACAGAGAGGATCATTACAGAGGCAGCCTCTCCCGAGACATGGGCAGCACTGATAGAATAGAGAATTTGAGAAAAATCTGGTTCTTTCTAAAAACTGCTTTGTAAGTTGCTTTTTCTTTATGATTCTGTGGGATTTTGTTTACATTTTCTTATAGGGTGGACAAATCTTCCTTGCTGTTAGTATTTAGAAATATCTAGAAACGCACTGCTTGGTTAGATTCATTGCCTAGCTGTAACTTCTGGTGCTGTCTCTGTTGTGCCAGTGAACCTCTCCAGCCGCAGAGGGGACTGCAAGTGTGACTAGAGCCGCATCTCTAAACACTTTATGCTAACTCGCGTGTGTGTATATATGATAAATGTACATACATAGACACTTCTTGTGTAATTAATACCAAACTACTTCTCATGAAGCATCTCCCTGTTGCTCAGCATACTTTGCATCTCTCCTTTTTGGTGGGTGGAGCCTTGTGGATGTGGAAGTTAGATTCAGTTTATAAAATCACAGATGGAGTCCAGTATGACAGCTGGCAGTGTCTTGTTAACAGTGATGTAATTCCTCATCACAAGCCAGGTTTTAAAAAGAAATATCTTAAGCATTGATTCTCAAAATTCTTGTTTTTCTTTATATTGGGAATTAGGCACTATTGGGAAGCTGCTACTGCCCACAGCCATGCCACTGTGCACTGTGGTCTCATCAGCTCTCACAAGCTAAAGCCAAGGCAGATTGGACCAATTATTTGACTGAGAAGCCTCTAAAAATGATCAGATGTCACAAGAAGTGATGGCATCAATTCATCAGATGATGCTCTCTCAGTGGGTTCTGCGCCAGTCAGTACCTCGTCATGGGTGGTGTAATGGTTTTGTCTGACCACTGAGCAGTCATTGAAGGTCCTGCATTGTAGTCAGGTCTTAGGTGAAATGGGTCACCCATGTGCCTGCGCTAACCAGTGACTTCACTCAACCAGAAAGGAGTCAGAAAACCCTTCAATTTCATAACTGATTCAATTGGCTCACGAGATTTTTACATCCTTACCAGAGTTTCATCCATCATACTTACAGCTGCTGTGTTTTGTAGCTGAAATTAACCCTGTGTTTCTTCTAGTACAAATTGCTGAAGCACTCTGATTTCCTTTGGGAGCCAGGGTGCTTGGTGAACTAAAGACGATGTTGTTCATATCTTCTCGGGGTTGAATATACTCGTCTGTCGACTTTCGTGGTTTGTCACCCTTCTCCTTCCTGGTTCAGGCATGTGTGTATGCTGAGGGAGGAGGTAGAGGAGGGAGTGGCTATTCAATGCTAGCAAACCTCGTCCTTTCAGTTGGCGCTATGGCTTACTCAAGTTTCATTTTTATTAATTTAGATGAGGGTGCCATCTATTGCTGTGCATATTTATTCCACTAAGACTCATCTAATAACGATTCCATTCCCCCTTCAACATTTTTTTTAAAGTATTAGCTAATATTCCCTAGATTTTCTATAGGGAGAGAGGAAGAACTGTTGCTGCTTACTATGTTTTCAGCAAATGTGGAATTCTGCACAACTTTAGCATGCCCCACACTGTCCTTTTCCTTTCTTCAAAGAGTGTTGCATATGCCTAAATCTTTCTTTTTTTAAGTTGGCGCACTCGACTTGTGCCATATTTATAAGAAAGAACTCAACCCTGTCCTTCTGTGTGTTTTCACAGCCATGCCCGGTTACGCTGTATGTGCACCTGCAACAGGTGTACATTTTGCATCTGTCAGAACTTCCTCAACTCAGACTTGCTGCAATCTGTAAAGAACAAAATCTTCACTGCAGTTCTTAACAGGTTCTTAACTTTATTTACTGGGTACCAGGCATTCTGTTAAAATACAAAAGAAAAAGTGGATAACTATTTATTATACAGCTACTCATTATAAAGGCAACAAGTCAGCTGACCCCTACTAACTCCCACTGAAAGTCTCAATATGATGACAATGTTTAGTTTGGGAATCACCATTAATAATTTTTTTTTAATTAGTAGATCTATTTTGGGAACTATTAAACAAGATTTTGAGTCTTTTCACTAGGAAAGTTAGCAGCCTGTTCCATTTTAAGAGGTAGTGTGTTTATGGATCTTTTGGGTGTCCGGTGTTGACTAGGAGGTTTTTTGTAGTGAAGCAAAGACATGTCAATCCAGAATCAGAAACATTGTACTGTACTTAGTTTGTGTTCCTATGATATGTCATATATGCAAACCATACTAATATGAACCAGATTCTCTCTTCTTGAAACCATTTGTAATTCCAGTATTCCTTTTGAGGGAATGTTTATTTGAAAGAACATATTTCTGGAAATGAGAGTAATAATGAACTTTAAGGACTTTAAGGAATATAGAAAAAGAGAAAAAAGAGCTATAATGCTAGATTCTGAGCCCCCCCCCCTCCAGGTTTGTTAGCCTTGCTTATTCCAAACAGGCAGATTACCTATTGAAGTGATTTTAAGTAAGTTAAACTATGACATAGCCTCATAAAGCAATGTATTCTTTCATAAATGAAGGGGGGAAAGTGATGCTTTCATTCTCTCAAAGTAATGAACTTTATTCTTATTCTGATCTTGCTATCCTTTTGTAAATCAGTGTTTTTTTTTTTTTAATTTAAAGCCTACATAATGTTTAGTTTGTATCTGTCTAAGGATGATTTTGGTTTTTGAAGTCATCTAAATATCATTAAGAGCCAGGCTTGATTAAACAGATGGTCAAGATGTCCTAGCTACTTGGTTCTTCCTTGAATACTCTAGCTACATCTATATCCTGGCTAGAGTCTAGCTAGATCAAATAATCATCATATATGATCACCACCGACACAGCAGCTGAACCTGTGAAATGTTGACTGATATGCAAGAGATGGAAGCTAGTTTTGACAGTGTTCTGTAAGGGTTTCAGTGGTGCTTGAGCACTAGCACCTCCAGAATTAGGATGCAGCCCCCTGAAGACACTACTGTGAGGGGATTACCTTGCTCTTGCCTTTGTCGTTTGAGAGCATCTTGTAAAGAAGTGACCAGACTCCACAATGATGACTCACCACAATGATGACTGACAGAAATACAAGGCTAGTTCAAACTGAACAAACCTAGGAGCTCTGGATTTTAAGAGTTGGAAGATTCTGGAATTCATCTGGCTAATCCCATGAGAATGCTTCTCTGCATGCCTTCCTGAGAGGCAGCTATTTGCCTGTGGCTTTCATTTTTAGAGAGAGGCTTTGCTTTTTTGCTTTTGCTTTTTTTTTTTTTTTTTTTTTGGTTTTGTTTTGTTTTTTGTCCCCCACCCCCGAGACAGGATTTCTCTGTGTAACAGCCCCAGCTGTCCTGGAACTCACTCTAGACCAGGCTGGCCTCAAATTCACAAGTCTCTGCCTCCCAATTGCTGGGATTAAAGGAATGTTGCCTCCACCACCCTGCTTGCTTTGAATTTTTTTAGCTAAAATGTTTTTCCTGTAGCTTTCTCTATTCCTTTAGGTTCTGTCCTTTAGAACAACATACAACCACTTTCCCTCATCAATATAGCAATTCTTCAGATACTTGAGGACAGCCATCATGTCTACCCTTGTTTTCTCTTCTCCAGGCACAATACCCCATTTCTTTTAGCTTTCACTTAGGTGCTTTTAGTGACTTCATCATTCCTGATTGTCATCATCTGAAATCCCCTTAAATTAGCGGGTGCCAACAAGAGTGGCTAACAGTGCTCCAGGTGTTGTCTGTCTGGTCCAGAACTGAGAGCAGCCATGTTCCTCACATGTTCAACACCTGACTAGTATGTGACTAAAGTTTCTGTCCCCCATCCCACTGTTGATTGTTATATATATATATATATATATATATATATACAAACAAACTTGGGGATAGTTGAAATTGGACCATTTCTTCATTTCTTCATATGAAATACTATTGAGGCAAATGTCCCTTCCTCTTTAATTGTGCTTTTAATATCTTAGCTGACATTTTAAATGTAAATGTAGGTACATACATCTCTTTACTAAGTGTTATTTTTTAATCCATTTGTCCTAGCTCAATCATTCAAACACTATTTTTATAATTTGTCCCGTTATATAACTATCATTTTGTTACTTTCGAATTGCATAGATTAGATGTGTTTAAGTTTTTTAAAAAATATTTATTTATTATGTATACAATATTCTGTCTGTGTGTATACCTGCAGGCCAGAAGAGGGCGCCAGACCCCATTACAGATGGTTGTGAGCCACCATGTGGTTGCTGGGAATTGAACTCAGGACCTTTGGAAGAGCAGGCAATGCTCTTAACCTCTGAGCCATCTCTCCAGCCCCAATGTGTTTAAGTTTTTAAGTTACTGATAAATAATGTTGACTACTCAGAGATTGAAAAGAGAGAGACGTGAACAAGCCATTGGGAACTCTGTCAGTGATAGATATAAAATTCAGCTAGTGAAAAAAATATTCTTGAGCCATGTGTGGGGGCATACACCTGTAATCTGTTTTTCTTTATCTACATTTTGCCTCTGAGCTTTTTGCCTTTCTTTCTGTATATCTTACTTTCCTGCTGTCTCCATCGCTGACTGACTGACGGCTCCCTGGCTTCTGGCCCCAGGCGCATCCCTCTCTTTCTCCCTCATTCTCTTCTCCTCTCTCTAGATTGCTTCTCCTCTTTATTCTCTGCCAGCCCCTCCTGTCCTCCCGCTGCCTAACTGTTGACCATTCAGCTTTTTATTTCTTGTTTTTGTTTTTCAAGACAGGGTTTCTCTGTAGTTTTGGAGCTTGCCCTGGAACTAGCTCTTGTAAACCAGGCTGGTCCTGAACTCACAGAGATCCGCCTGCCTCTGCCTTCCAAGTGCTGGAATTAAAGGCATGCGCCACCACTGCCCAGCCTCAGCTTTTTATTAGACCATCAGGTGCCTTAGGCAGGTAAGGTAAAACAAATGCAACGCATTTTTACATAATTAAACATTCAGCACAAACAAATATAACACATCTTTACATCATTAACAAAGGCAGCAGAGAGACAGGCTGTGATGGCGCAGGCCTTTAATCCCAGCATTCGAGAGGCAGAGACAGGCAGATCTCTGTGAGTTCAAGGCTAGCTTGGTTTGGAGAAGCGAGTTCCGGGATAGTCTCCAAAGCTATAGAGAGAAACCTTGTCTCAAAAAACAAAAAACAAAGGTAGCAGAAGCAAATGTAACACATCTTTGCCTAGTTAAATTAATATTCCACAATGGTGGCACACACCTGCAATCCCAGTACTCAGTCAGGAAGCTGAGGCAGGAGGATCTCCAGTTCAAGACCAGCCTAGTTTTCACAGTAACTTTGAGGTCTGACTGAATTCCATTCTGAGAACCTAGCTCCAAATATCAAAATAAAATATTTATTCTTACCTAATATGCATTGCATATTGTATTATAATCTAGTATACACTGCATATTATTACCTGTTATAGATTGTATATTACCTAGTATACACACGTTATCTAGTATACACAATGCATATCACTGCCTAGTATACATTGCATGTTATTATCTAGTATACATTGCATCTTCTTATCAGGAGTTTCAGGGAAGGGTTTTCTGGAATCAGTGTATAATTTTCATCACGTTCTTCTGACTTACCAGTGGATTATTTTATTTATTAACTAGGAAATGACATGCTTGATGTTTTATTCTTGGTGAACCTCTCTTTTCTTACAGTAATTACTGATTACAAACCACCTATTTCATTATATATTCTAGAATCTTTTTTTTACATTTATTTATTACATATACAATATTCTGTCTGTGTGTATGCCTGCAGGCCAGAAGAGGGCACCAGACACCATTAAAGATGGTTGTGAGCCACCATGTGGTTACTGGGAATTGAACTCAGGACCTTTGGAAGAGCAGGCAATGCTCTTAACCTCTGAGCCATCTCTCCAGCCCCTCTAGAATCTCTTAATTGCTATCATAGCAGACTGATTCCTTTTCTGTATCATTGGTGACAATTTCCTTAGGTTGATGCAGTTTCCAGGTGAGACTGGAGATGCTTTAAATTGATGTGCTTGCCCTACACTGCAGTCTTCAAGCCAGCTATCTGTCACATCTGTTAAAATGGGAAGTGATTTAATATTGGTGTCAGCACTCCTCACTGGAAATCTGATAGTCAAGATGGAAAGATGAGGAGGAAAACAATGTATGTTTCAGGGGACTCTTTCTTACCTCAGTTGCTGCTTTGCCGTATATTGGATAGAAGTGCAGTGAACTTCGGGGGTTCTGTGCTAAATTTCTTCTGGGTTATAGAAGGGCGTAGAGAAGCAGCACAGGTGAGCTGAGGTCAAAACCCAGCTCCCAAAGGATCTAGCATTCTAGGTAAGTGATGTGGAAGTGTGAGGAGAGATGGTGGCTGAGACCAGCCTGTCTATAACATAAAGGCAGTAACTATTCAGCTGAGCCCTGTATGGCGTAGCACTGGTGTTCGCTGGCTTTCTATTCTACAAACGCTTAAAAACAACATTTTTATGTGACAAGAGCTTGGTATGGTGGGCCTTAGTTCTAATCTCAATACTAGGCAGGCTGAGGCAGGAGAATTATATAGGTTTAAGGCCAGCTTAACATACAGAATGAGTTCTAAATCAGCCTGGGCTAGAATGAGACTCAGGTCTTAAAAACAAAAACAAAAACTCACCTAAGCCAGATGTGGTAGTACACACCTTTCCCAAGCACTTGAGAGGCAGAAACAGGCAGATCTCCAAGTTTGAGGCCAATCTACAGAGTGAGTTCCAGGATAGCCGGGGTTTTGAGACCTTATGTCAAAATAAACAAGCAAACAAAATTTAACATGAAATTTCCTGG